AAGAGGATGCCCTCCTGCTTGGCCAGCTGCCCAGCCTCCTCCTGCGGGCCCTGCTCCCCGACAGCCAGCTTCAGCATGTCGTCGTTCATCACTCTGGGCTCCAGCGAGTTGCACAGCCGGTTCATCTTCCCTAAAAACAGTACGTCTGTGTTGCCCGTCTGTTCTCCTCTGTCCGAGGCGGGGCTGTGGGCCTCCTCTGACAGTGGGGGACACTGTGCGGGCAAGGGCCACAAACGCTGCCCTCCTCCCACTGCTTGGCCCCGGCCCCGAGGGGTTAGGGCATTTGCACTAAGGCTGTGCCAGGACTTCCCCGGGCAACCACGTGGGACCATCCTGCCTGGTGCCCTTCCTTGGCCCCAACCACAGCTGTGACCCTGCCGGGCCAAGTGGATGGTGCCACAAGGGACTCCTAGCCTCTGGAGCACAGCTTCCCTCTGGCCATGGTCACCCGGGCCATGGGTTTCTGTGCCACCTTGTGCAGGTTTATTGGTGCCAACCACTGCACTCCCTCAGCAGCCCCCGGGCCACTAGTCGGCAGCCGCCTTTCCTGGGAGCCTCAGCCAGACAGACAGCCATGTCCATGTCACTCCTGCCCCGTCCCCCCCCCCCCCCACCACCACCAAATTGGCCCGTGTGTAGGTGGATACCCTGAGAAATGTGAGCGTGAGCCTGAGGATGGGAGTGCCCAGCAGAGCTGGTTGCATGAGCTGGGGAGAAACCGGGAGCAGATGAACAGAGAGAAGCAGAGATGGGAACCTGGGGGTCCGGGGACAATAGGCAAAGGGACAAACAGACTAGCACAGACAGAAGCTGCCTTCTTGTGGCTTTCCGGCCCTTAATGTCCCTGATTTCAGGCCTGAGAGTTTCCTGCTTCTGGCAGTAAATCCTCCTTCCCTTAAACTAACCCAGAAGGGTCTGCTGTTCATGGTCCAAAGGAAATAGACTGCGACGCCGCAGGCAAAGTGGAGCTGGGACTCGGTCAGTCACACTGTGAGGGGACCGGGCTGCCATTCCTGGTTGGGCAGAGCCACAGCCCCGGGAAGTCAGGGCATCCAACCTCCTCCTCATCACAACCCTCTGAGTGAGGACAGCCTCCTTCTCACACCAGCCTCTGAGTGAGGACATCCCGGAGACCAGGCCGCAGGAGGGCCACGCTCCTGTCAATCTACTGGAAATGCCCAGATCCCGCCTCCTGAACCTCTGGAACCAGTTCTCCCTCCTACTTCCCACCCTGCTTCTTCACCTGCTTTCTCTGTCTGCCTGTGTCCCCACCATCGGGCCTCCCTGAGCCTCCTGTCCTCCCTGCTCTGCTAGTCCTTGACCTGGACAAGCCCCTGTCCTCTGCCCTTTGTCCTCTGGGTTCTGTTTGGAGAGTGCTGGTGGTATGGTGTGCATCACATACCCGATGGGCCTGGCAATCCTGCCACTTGGCCTTACACTGCCACTGCCAAGCTGCCCTCCCCTCTCCCCCACCGTCCATTGTAGGCAGCTTATGTAAATATGCATCTTCTATTTCTGGATTTTGCATGACCAGATGTCCCAGTGCTTTTAGCTCTCATGCGGCCTTTCCTTCTACCCCCAGAGGAGGCACAGCCTACTAACCCCAATCCCATCCCTCCCGCCCTCCCAATGCCCGGGCTCCGCCTGCACCTTCCATCTCCCCATTCCTCCCATTGTCAACATCGCTACAGCTCCTGCCCCCAAAAGGTGTTTCCAGCCCTTTGCCTTTCTCTATCTCCCTCCTCTTCTGAAACAAATTTTTAAAAATATATATATTTTATTGATTTTTTACAGAGAGGCAGGGAGACAGATAGAGAGCTAGAAACATCGATGAGAGATAAACATCCACCAGCTGCCCCTTGCACACCTTCTACCGGGGATGTGCCCACAACCAATGTACATGGCTTTGACTGAAATCGAACCTGGGACCTTTCAGTCCGCAGACGGACGCTCTACCACTGAGCCAAACCGGCTTCGGCTGAAACAAATTTTCTAAAATTTCCCATAACTTGACACCAAGTTGCCTTTGGGGAATTTTAATGTGCTATATTTTGCAGATATCACCTGCAAGTGTTTGTGCTTTTTCAAAGAAAGGTTCTGTACTTGGGAAAATTATTCTTAATTCTGACTTCAAAACTCCAACTGACTTATCATCCCTCCCACATCAAGGCCTGGCACCTAAGCCAGAACAAGCTTGCTTTCGGTCCAGCCAATGGCAATGTGGGGCTGCTGCCTAGCCCACCAGGGCAGGGCTTAGACCTGACTTTGCATCCTTTGGCAACTCACCTCCCCTGGCTAAGCCTTCAGCTTCCCATCTATACTAGATGAATAATTCCTCCCTCCTACATTTGTTTAGTCTACACACATGTGATGAATATCTACATGTTATGACTACAACAGAAAGATCTCCTTATCTCTGTTTCAGATGATCATATAGCCTCTGTTTCAAATGATCATATAGTCATACAAATGTTTAATTAGAAACGATGACAGCCGAGACCGGTTTGGCTCAGTGGATAGAGCGTCAGCCTACAGACTGAAAGGTCCCGGGTTCGATTCCGGTCAAGGGCATGTACCTTGGTTGCGGGCACATCCCCAGTGGGCGGTGTGCAAGAGGCAGCTGATCGATGTTTCTCTCTCATCAATGTTTCTAACTCTCTATTCTGCTTTCTTCCTCTCTGTAAAAAAGTCAATAAAATATATTTTTTTAAAAAGAAAAGAAACGATGACAAATTAGTAGGTGTAGGGAACTATGATAGTATGCATTAGGGGCACTTGGCCTGGCCAGGGAGCTGGGACTGAGTTCTGAAGGAGGAGCAGGAAAGGAGAGGGAACCACACATCGAGGCCCTGGTGTGGGAAGAGGGCCTGATCCACTTTGGCTGAAGGGATACAAGCTTGGAGGGGCCTTCAGGAGCTCTGTCATTGTCCTAGGAGACCTGGGAGCTCCTGGGGCTTAACAGGGGCAGTGACACGGTAAGATTTTAATCTTAAGATGCTCACTCTGGTTGTACTACTGAGAATGGCAAGAGTCATGAAGTGAGAGATGACCAAGTGACCAAGGAGGTGAGACATGGATTTGAAAGATCTCTAGGAATTTATTTTATATGTAGGACTAGTCATTGGCAGCTTTCAGATAAGAAAATGGAAGCCTTTAGGTTAAGTAAAATGCCCAAGTTCATACATCTAGTAGATAGAGCTGGAGAACAGGACTCCAGAGCCATTTCTTAATCATGACTCAGCTGTTCCCAGGTCACTGCAGACCTTCACTGTCACTGCCCAGAGTGACAGTGAAGGTCTGCTGTTCTGCGTCAGGGTCAAGGCCCTAACAGTCCTCCCTGAGGGTTTTTATCATAATTCACCACCCAGCCTGGCCTCCTGATGCCTTGCCTGTTGATAGTTTGGTTGGTGAAGACCACTGGTAGGAGGTAGAGAATGCGCCTCAATGGAGTCGCCTCCTCAGGAAGAAACAGGTCCAGAACTGTCCTAGGAAACAACCAGCTGGGATCAACTGGATCTGAAAAATAAACAGTTTACTTTACTGAATGCTTACTGTGTACCAGTGCTCAAGTGTTAATTATGTCAGCTCTGGAGGCCATTAGAGAAGATCCCTGTTGCCCTAATTTCCCAGATAGGAAAACTAAGAGTCATCAGGAAAGGAAATTGTCTAGTCATACAAGTAGCTACTGACAAGGAACAGACATGGAACTGGGATATCCATTTGCCCAGCCAAAGTACTTTAAATAGCACCAAGATGAAGAGTAAAAACAAGAGGAATAATTTAATGACAGTTGTGAAGTGGGATATAAGAGTTAAATTCTTGAAGAAGTTATCAATGGATTTTTCTTTCAAGTTCCTTTCTCTCTATGAAAGGGATCAGGCCAGAAGCCTAGGGGATCAGACTCCTTAAAAATCTCTAGGGGCCGGCTAGGGTGGCTCAATGGTTGAGCATCAACCAATGACTCAGAAGGTCACAGTTGGATTTCCATCAGAGCACGTGCCTGGGTTGTAGGCTCCATCCCCAGGAGGAGGAGAGCAGGAGGCAACCGATCAACGATTCTCTCTCATCAATGTTGTTTCTTTCTCTCTGAAATCAATAAAAATATATTTTAAAAAAATTCTTCGGGCACTGCCCGCTGAGGAACTGCTTCCTTAGTGTTTCTTTTTAATCCAGAGGCTTGAAAGCCGAGAACTAGAGTTTTGCCTGACTCAGAGCGGCTGGCAGAGGACCTATGTGCTCACTTTATAGATGAGAAGGGCCGGGCCAGGAACCTCGGAGAAAAAAGTCGGAGAAAATAGTCGGAGAGAAGAGTTAAGTCGGGCGCTGTTGGCTCTGCCAGTCCTCCCAGAGCTTCAGCTCCCGAGTCTGACCTTCTCAAGCGCAGGCTACCCGGCTGGTTCGCGCAGAAGTCGCTTCGCTCAGTTGCTAGGAGAACCAGAAGACGCCACTCCGTTGCTAAGGGGAAGTTAGGAAGTAAACATCCTGGGTGAAAGTTGATAAGTCGCCTAACAACATTCCTGGGTGGGGAAATACTCCTTTCACCAATTAGCTGTGGAGAAAACAAATGTTCCTCCAATCAGCACTTCTCATGGGCGGGATCTTTCTAGCCTCGTCTCCTTCCAGACCCGTACTTGAGTGATTGACTCGTCTGTTCTCCAATAACAGTAGGGATTCTAGATTGACCAATATATAGATGAATCAAAACACACGGACTCGTTCGGAGGCGGGCCAGGGGAGGTGCCCCTCGCTAGCCGGCGATCCCTGCGACTTCGCTCGCTCCTCCGCCCAATCGGAAGCCGGGGGCAGGTGGGTCTTCGTGGGTGGACCAATCGGAGGGAAGCCGAGCAGGCGCTGCCCAATAAGAGTGCTGCAGGAGCGGAGGGGGCGGAGCGTCCCGAGGGTGGGGCGGGGGCAGGTGTCAGTCAGGTCGGGAGCGCGACGGGGACTGCGGAGACCCGGCGTCTGACAGGGCGCCGGCCGCTGCCGTCTGTCCGCCCAAGATGGAGTTCCTGCTGGGGAACCCGTTCAGCACCCCGGTGGGACAGTGCCTCGGTAAGGCCGCGCGGAGGACGGCGTCCGGGTGGGCGGCGGCGGCGGCCGGCGGGGTCCGCGGCCTCTGCGGGTCACCGGTGCCCCCCTCGGGCGGGCCGGCATCCTTGTCGTCGGGCCTCTGAGGACCCGCTGCGCGCGAAGCCCGCGCCGTTCTGCCAGGCGGCGCCCGGAGGCCCCGCTGGGACTTGGAGGACCTCTGCGCGTCCCTCCCCGTCGGGGCCCAGCCCTTCCCGGTACCTTTAGGTGGTGCCAGCTGCTGGGCGGCTCCTGGGAGATGCCACTGCGTACGCCCCCACCGGGCTTGCAGCCGCCGTCAGGACCCGCTTTCTCCACACCCTTCTCCTTCATCCCCCGTCTCTCCCGCTGGGCACCCTCCCAGACGAGGTCGCCTGCTCCAAGGCTTGCTAATTAGAACCGCGACTCAGCCGGCTGCGGGGGGCGGCGGGGGTGGGGGCGGGGATGGTTCCCGTGTCTGGCGGGGGCGGCGGGCCTGCTCCTCGGGAAGGAGGGGAGGCCGTGCTACTTAATGATAAGAGCCCTGGACGCTCCCTGTGACCTTGTGCAAGTCACTGCCCTTTCTGGTTTGACGTTTGCCCGGTCTGTCAGGTGAGGTGTGTGGAGGTGAGATGTAGGTTCCTTCACATCCTAAAGTTTCTGATGCTCCGTGCGGCGGTCCCTGGCACTGACTGCTGCTTCCCTGCAGCATTAGACTCGCCGAAGTGAAGTCTGAGGGCGGCCTGTGGAGAGAGGGTCCTCGGAGCGCCTGCTCCTCCCGGAGAGGCTGCGGCGCCAGAGGGGGAAGGGGGCAGAGTGGCCACCGTCTGGGATCTCCTCACTAAAAAGCAATTTTGCCTTCCCATCCAAGGCAGGAGCTTATGCCAAGTGCTCAGTCAAGAATGTTGATTAGTTTCTTTTAAAACTGGGTTCCTCCTGGCTGGTGGAAGGACTGGTAAAAGTCTCCACCTTTGGGATCCCTAGGGACCTGGCTGGCTAGGCAGTAGTGTTTATTTCTTGCTCTAATTAAGAACTATCAGCTTACTTTTCGGCCTTACTTTTACTGGCATTTGGGAACCTTTCTTCTCTTGTGTAACATCTCGGATAAGGGGTGATGGACACTGGGTGTTGGGAAGTCTTTTCTCACCTTTACACACTGCGTGTCTCCAGATTCTCACCCCGTCCGCCTCTTCCTGTGCTCAGGCACTCACACTGCAGCCAGGTCCCCAATGCCTTTTCTCAGCTGGTGTTGAATTCCAGCCAGGTACGCAGGGAGCCGTCAGCTCGGGGGAGGACAGTTCTTTTCTAGTTCCTTTATAATAGGAAGCTGTACACCTTCGAAATGCCAGGACAGTTGAGAGGTAGAAATTTAAGGGGATTTAAAAATATGCACATATAAGGGATGTAGGGATACAGATCCAATGGGAAGGACTTGGTGCTGTGTCAGGAAGACGGGGCTCTTGACTTTTGCCTTGCCCGTTTCTTGGTGTGGGACCCCAGAAAATTGTGTAACCCTTCTGAGCCTTAATGTGCTGAGAGAGGGAAAGAGGGAGGAAGGGAACACAGTGCCTGGAACATAGGAGAGGGTCAATAACTGGTAGCTCTCAATGTTAATAACAGAACAATTAAGTTAGGTGGAGAGGATGTGTGGGACAGCTGGCCCGTCTGTGACCTTGCAGGCCCCATCACTTACAAAAAGCGTACCTGACGGCAAAGAGTGAAGCCTCCTCCTTGCTAGTCAGTCACCTGGCTAATACCTACGGAATTTCACAGTTCAGTTCTAATGTATACTCTGTACTGTGGTGACAAAGTGTGAAAGTGATTTTCATGATGTTCAGTATAGTTAATATTCTTTTAAAAGTATGCCCCAGGGGGTTGGGAGGGAGGGGAATGTGGAAATACAGCAACAACAAAGCTAATGATTAAAAGCAGCAGCTATGGCTTACACACAGCAATTCTCCAGCCATTATTTACCCCTCACAGCTGCTTTGTGAAGACGTTGTGTTGTCTTTCCACATCAGAGAGAGGACACTGAGGCTCAGAGGAGTGAGTGACTGATTGGCAGGCAAGAGGGGGAGCTGGGGTTTTGCAGCTGCCTGGCCCTCAGGGGACTTGTGTATCGGGAGAGGACAGAGCTGCATGGAACAATGATGACTGGAAGAGGCCACTCCTGGCTAAGTGCTCTTAGGAGTCCAAAAGAATTCAGAATGCCAGCGTGCTGGGACTGGCTTCCTTGGTCTGAGGGTTGAGGGTTCCAGAGGCCAAGAAGAGGATACTGTGTGCCTGGCCACAGGTAAATGGGGGTGGGTGCGGGGGTAAGATGTGGCCACATCTGTGAGCACAGTCTGAGTGGAACAGAGGTGGCTGTGGGAATAGAGGCAAGTAGGGTTTGGGCCAGTAGGAAGCCTCGTTCTGGGTGGCTGACATCAAAGACTACATCTTAGCTAACTCCACTTTTAGTCTCTCTGGACTCATTTCCTCACTCATAAAAGACTACCTCTCAACCGCTCCATGGGCTTACACCTAAAGTCCATCAGTCCAGTTCAGCAAGCTTCTTGAGTGTCTATGGGTGCCAGGCTCTGGGACAGAAATATTAAAAAGCTGCTCCTAGGGACCCTTCAGCAGCGGTAACATGCTGGCCAAAGGTGTTCTAGAGCTGCGAAGCGTTGGCTCAAAGTAGCAGAGTAACGACTACTTTGTTAGGCCTGGCTTCATGCGGACATTCTAACCTGGTGCTGTTTGCCCATCTCGAGCAGCAGCTAAGACCACAGCCTGTGCATTTCCTGCATCCGTCCTGCTCTTCATTCTGGAAGGCAGTTCCCGAGTAGGATGTGCGTTTCAGAGAGAGCCAGCAATGGTGTAAGAGACTAAGTATGGAGAAAGAAAAAGTACTTGTTTTTATTTCCACCTTTTCTCTTCTGAAACAAGCTTCAAAATGGTGATGGTCTTAGTCTCAACCCTCCATGACCAGCCACCGGAAGTTGGATGTGATCGGTCGGGAGTTCCCTAAGTCAGATCCATGTGCTCTGCAAATATTGGCAGTTTTTCTTGTGGCTGAAAGACATTTTTAGATAATCCTTTTCCAAGACTCATTTGCACTAAGAGAACAGTGAACAGTTAGTTAATTCTGACCAGAACATTGTGGGGTGGGAAAAGGACCATCTATTGTCTCCATAGTTGTGCCTTGATGAGCTGTAAGGAGATTCTCTGCCGCAGGGTTTGTTGTAATGGGTGGGGTTGGACAGAAACTGCTTCCTCGTGCCCCTTGAACACTAGGCGTTTGATGTTAGCATGGCTGTTCGAACCAAGAATGACTTGTCCTTCTCAGGTTGCTATGGCTGTTGGCAGTTTGCAAAACTATATTATTGCAGTAATTTTTTTTTTTTTTTGGCTTCACAATCCTGTGAGAGACACAGAAAGAAAACTGAAAGGAACTTATAATTATTAAGCTCCTACTATATGCAAACTCTACTCATGGGATCTCATTTAATCCTCACAACATTTAAGTATTTGAGTGCTTCTAAGGAAGTTGTGAGGTTAATTACTTGTGCAAGGTCAACGACAGCTAAGCCCAGAGTCCACTCCTGATCTAGTGCTCATCCTGTGATTCCATGTCGCTTTCGGCTTCACAGATCCTGGATTCAGACTCATCAGAACCACCTAGAAAGCTTGTTCCAACAGTTGTTGGACTCCACCCTTAGAGTTTCTGATTCAGTAGGTGGGTCCTAGCATTCTAACAAGTTCCCAGATGCTGCTGCTGCTGCTGGTCCGGGCAGTACACTTTGAGAAGATTATTCTAGGTCAGTGTTCTCAACCTTTCTAATGCCGAGACCCTTTAATACAGTTCCTCATGTTGTAGTGACTCCCAACCATAAAATTATTTTCATTACTACTTCATAATTGTAATTTTGCTACTGTTATGAATCGTACTGTAAATATATATGTTTTCTGGTGGTCTTAGGTGACCCTGCTAGCAGTTCTCAACCTGTGGGAACCTTATATAATATAATAAAAGGCTAATATGCAAATTGTCCCCTTGACCAGGAGTTTGCAGGCAGGCTAGCCAACTGCCCATGTCCCCTCCCCCTGGCCATACTGGCTGGACCCCACTCATGCAGGAATTCATGCACCAGGACACACACACACACACACACACACACACACACACTCACACTCACACACACCCCTTAACTAATAAAGAGGGAATATGCTAATTGACCATTACACCCTCACAAAATATGGCAGCACCCACAGCCAATAAGGAGGGAATATGCTAATTTACTGTCATGTCCTAAGAGAGACGGTGCCCAGTCTGCTCTGCCCCACCGGGGCAGCAGGCACATGGCACAAGCAGGCATGGCCCCAGGCGGGTCCCGCTGCTCTGTGCGCCTGCCTCTGGAGTCCCCCAGTCCCTTCAGCCCCCCAGCTGCCCAGGGCCAGCCTGAGGTGAAGGCAAGCCTGGGATGGTGGCTGTCCAGCTGCCCAGAGCCTCCCAAGGCTCAGGTAACCAGGGCCGGCCAAGGCTTGCCTGCAGAGGTGTGATGGGGGCGTTGCCTTCCCTTGATCTCTGGGTTGCCTCCCGCCCCTGAGGGCTCCCAGACTGTGAAGGGGATGGGCTGGGTTGAGGGACCCCCCCCCCTCCAGTGCATGAATGTTCATTCACCAGACCTCTAATACATACACACACACACACACACACACACACACACACACACACACAGACACACACACACACTGAGTGGCAAGATTATTATGTGTTCAGAGATCATAATAATCTGGCCACTCAGTGTATATGTCTGCAGTCCTTTAAACTTCACAGTCATACTATGAGTAAGGCACTGTTACTATTACCATTTGCAGGGGACACTGCAGCACGAGGTCACACAGCTCGCAGTGAGGAGCTGGAGTGGAACCCAGTATTCTGCTCCTGGCTGGTGTTCTGTTACCTGTGGGAGGGGAGGGAGAGCACAGAGAGGTGGGAGGAGGGGCTCTGAAGGACGCAGAGG